TGGTGCGAGGAGTGATTGGTTTTGGAATTGGGAGCAACTGCAGGCATAAATTCCTTCGATATAGTTGTACAGAAGTACTTTGGAGTGATTGGTTTTGCTGTTTTTTTTTCTTTTTCATGACAGATGATACTGCTATGCTCTGGGGGATCAAGTTCTACAATGATTTGCTCATGCAAGCTGGTCCTCTTGGTAATGTACAGTCAGAGCTGCTTTTCCGAAAGGATCAATCAACTTTTACTTTTGAGAAGGGTTGGGCTTTCCCTAGGAGGATCTATTTCAACGGAGACAATTGTGTGATGCCACCTCCTGATTCTTATCCATGGTTGCCAAATGCTGGTTCCAAACAGCATCTATCTCTGCTTGCCTTAATTCTCTCCTTCTTATCAGCGTTGGCATTCTTAAATGAATACCCATAAACTCTTCACTGTGAAATGGAGTTTCTACAATTTTTGACTGGATGGTTCAAACCTTAAACTGATGATAACCCAATTGATGAGTTCTTATCTTTGTTTGTGGTGTCTTCTTACCATCACGTGGGTGAAAGTGCAGTATTTTTTCTGGGTTGTCAAGAAACTGAGTGGTTTCTTCATAATGTACTGGCAGGTGACTTCCCCATTGTTTAGTGGTTACTGTGGTACTGCATCTTCATCTTTGTATTTATGTAGAACTCCTACTTGTGAAATACACAACTGTTGTAACAAGAAATAATACATTAATGAAGCATATATGCTAAGCTGGATTTGGTGGTTCATTATTCCTTCTGTTCCATCTTTTTTTTAAATGTATAACAAGTTCTATAAATTGATGGCCTGTCTTGACCAAAAATTTAGTAGAAACACGTTGATGAAGATTATACTTGCAGCAGAGCAATGCATGTAGTTATTAGAAATTCAAGAATTTGATATACAGAATCTGTGTTTAGGTGTTTTATACACGGGGATCAATGTGTACTGCTACTCCAGCCTATATAATATATAAATTTTCTTTGCCATCAAAACTTTGTACTTGCTGCAACCTTTCCATGTTGCGATGGTCTTCATAACCATCACCAGATAGTGATTGAGAGTAAAAACAGAGCAGAAATCAACGTTGAGAAACAGAGGAGTTTTCTTTTTGCAGAATTTGGGAGGAAGGGGTATGAATCAGGTGGTGGTAACATGCACTCCTCACCATTAAAGTAGACCTTCCTTGGAAATGCCCATCCCTGCTTGAAAGTGAAGGTATTCTTGTCCTTTTGAAGAAGCACTTCAGACTGAACATTCCCAAATGGTCCAGCTTCCATTAATAAGTCATTGTAGAATTTCGTGCCATAGAACATCCCTGTGTCATCTGCAAACATGTTCAAGTTTTTCAGTCTCTCATTTGGATTCACATAGAGTCTGAACATAAAAACTTGTTACTTACTTATGGATTCATAGGGAACAAGAGGCTTGTAATTGAAACTGAACACTTGAGTTACGTTGTTTAGATTAGGATGTTGAACAGCAAGTGTCCAGAGTGAGTGGTTCATCCGGTAATTGAAGTTTGTGATTGCAATCTTGACACGCCAGTAATCCTTGTAGTTAACCTTGACATGCCAGTGTACTCGAACTGGGCACATATGGTGCGTGCATTGCAGTAGTGGAGTCTGATCTTTCCTTGGAGTGTTGATTCCCACCATGCTAAGAATTTTAGAATCGCTCCTGCACCATCACCAACATTCAATGATTCAATTTCAAATTATTATGATGATTTTTACTGGGGAAAGCGATTAATACCCAGTTGTTAAAATCTTAAGGTGTTGAATTGAAGTTTGCTTACTTGACACAGCTCTTCTTATTCTCACACCCGCATGCACAAGAGGGGCAAGGAGTTATTGTGTCATTGTAGAATGATGAAAGGGAGACACAGCAACTTGGGTGCTTTCTAGCCAGGAACTGAGAATAAGTGCAGGTTACATTCCATGTCACTGCACAGAAAACCAGATATTGATTAGAATCTGCAACAAACAGAAAAAGAAATTGACTCATGTGAGGGATCAATACTAACTTAAAGCCTGAGTCTTTCTACGACGATCAGGTGTGAGGAAAACGGTGGAAGGCACAACTTTTGCAGGTCCACAAGTGTATCCTGGTCCTGGACCAAGCATGGTGAAGTTCCTGGGGAGTTTGACAGTCTTGTTGGAGGTTCCGGCTTGGCCAACACTCACCTGGAACTGAGAAACAGAGGATGCTGGATCTTGGCCCCAGGCTGCCACCACTCCACCTTTGCAGCAGTTTGAGAACTGCTGGTTGTATGGAACACCCGGCAGCAAGTCTACTACAGTAGGGTTTTTCTTACAACAATGAGGAATGTTTCCTTTGAACTTGGAGCAATCACCTTGTTCTGTTGTTTGTGCACCCGCCATGGACCATATAACTTCTTTCTTAGCCCATGTCCAGCCAAGGGTCCAGCCAGGGTTGGGTATATGCCTGTACATCTGGAAATTGTTCATAGTCACAACAGCCTGGAAAAAAAAAAAGGAACAGAATTTTATAAGCTATTAATAAGTTTGATCTGACTGAATCACACAATCTGATGATTCTATATGAAATGATTAAACTTTCATGATGTTAATATAGAACTGACCACATAGCCATCTGGAGTCCAGGACATGACATCCCATTTTATGGTTATATTTCCATTTGGATCCAAAGGATCATATGCAGCTGCCATCGCACAACAAATAATCTTAAAACTAAATAAAAATTGAAATGAACCAACAAATCAAGAAATCTTGAGGAATTTCAAGATCACCTGCATAAGAAATTAGCACCAGAAACACAAAAACCGACACCGCAAATCTCATCTTCTTCCTCCTATTCTTCTGAACAAAATCCTCTTAATGGTTCTGCTCAGCCTATGATCACCTACAACATATAAACTGCTTTCTTGTTTGTTTTGAAGAAAAAGTAGTCCTGCAATTTCTATGCATACCTACTGGTAGTTATATGTGTATATTACAATTCAATCAATCAGTTTTCCCTTCCCGTATCTTGAAGCAACAGTTAGGTGAGGTGTGAGCATAAACAGCTTAGTGGTAAAGGTTCAAGTTGACTGTCACAAGCAATTTACAGGTATGAACTTTGATGTTGGTTGACTAGTTTAAGAAAAAACAAGCAGTGTGATTGAAGTGGTATGCTTTTGAGATACTCATTTCCTGTTTTAAAAGTTTAATAATAATGAGAAGAATAATGGTAATACAAACCCAAAGAATGTAGAGACAAGTAATGAGTCTACTTCTCACAAAAAAAGACACTGCAACTAAACCTACCTAATAGCAAGACTTCAACAGTGGGTTCAGCTTTTTTGGTGCTACAACTGAAGAAGATGAAAAATACTGGAGAAAATCTTCTGTCTTGCATGGTTCTGGATGGGTCTAAACTTAGAGCCCTTAATAAAGAATTACAACTCAATTATTTTGAAGTGTCTGTTCTTTTAGTAATTTAAATTATGTATTTTTTTAAATTTTATATGATATTATTAAATTTTTAAAGTAAAAAATCATGTATTTTTTTTTAAAAAAAATTTTAATGAAAAATTGATCTTGAATTTCATGTGTTTATATTAGAATTCTATACACCTCTATATGTTCTTTTTATGTAAAATTAAAAAAAAAAATTACTTTCAATTAACATAAAAGTTATTATAGAACTATAGGATATTTTTCCCTTAAATAATCATTTTTATTTGGACGGTTAATATTATTTAAAAAAAAAATAAAAAGTTTTAAATTTAAATTGATTATTTATTTTCATATGTTATTATTAAAAAAATTATATTATAACTAATATGTATCTATCAACTAATTAATGAATTACATATTAATCACTGATTTTTATTAATCAATTGGAAAAGTAGAATATCAAATCTCAATCTTTGTTTAAGAGGAATATTAGTTATCATTTCTTGCCTTTCTACCTCCAAAGAAACCATGAACATAGTGGATAAGTGTTAGAAATCCAGGTAAATAAAAAACAAGAGGCTAAGCCCCTGGTTTTGAGTTTTATGAAACTTGTCAAACCTCTCATTCATGGATGGCAGCCCACTGGAAATTTAACACAATGTAGATTCCAGGAATCAATCAAAGCTATATATATATATATATATGTATGTAGATATGTATGTATGTTATGTATGTATTGTTACATGTATGTACTGTATGTAACAAATGGGTGGACCCACTTCGTGGGACAAGTGACCATTTGTCACCTTCTTGTTCATGGTTCAACTGACCCAGGAAATTTAACACTTAGATGTAGACTTCCAGGAATCAATCAAAGCTATATATATATATATATATGTATGTATGTATGTATGTATGTTATGTATGTATGTATGTATGGTTATACATCTACAACAAATAAGTAATCGTCGTTTTGGTGGTAGAATTTGGAAGAACATATCATGGGGCGCTGGATGAAGCCAGAGGTAAGCAACTAAGAAAAGCTACTAACCATAATCTGCACTCCTCAAATGATTTTTTGTTACATGTATATACTGATGAAACAAACGGGTGTATCCACTTCTTGGGGCAATGACATTTGTAACCAGCATGTGCATCTTTCAACTTACAAGGAACGTATTCTTAAACCCCGACGTCAGGTATTCCATTCACTAATTCTTTATTAACAAATCATTTGTATGTTTCACTTTTGTCAATATTTTTTTCTTTTAAAAAATATGCATAATCAACAAAGAATATAGGATTAAAGGTAGTGGTGAGTAAAGACTAAGAAGGAGAAAAATCTGCCATAGCCTG